GAGAGAGAGAGAGAGAGAGAGAGAGAGAGAGAGAGAGAGAGAGAGAGAGAGAAAGTGAGGCATTTTTTTCTTTGTGAGGACTTGTCCAATACAACAGGCAGTGTGCAGAAAACTAAGAACTTCCTTTTCTCAGAATCCCAGGAGTGGGGGAGTGGGAGCAGCAAGGACGTTGGAAAGCAGGTGCCCCTTGAAATTTGTTTTTGTTGAACAGTATTTGCCGGCCTACCCGGTAGTAATCATTAGTTCTTCTCATTAATACTTATTATTATGTATTATTATGTAAGTGATATTGTAGCCACACTGCTGCCAGTGGTTTCCTTTTCCTGTGCATTTGTTTGCGCTTACAGTGAAAAAATTCAGAACTTCATCTTGTTACTGTTTCTTCAGTGGTGATGACTCGATAACGATTGCAGTTTTTCTGATTTTCCATTTCTGAAGGACATTTTGATGCTCAGTATTCAGCTTGGTGCATGGCTGTTGTTTCTCTAGGACGATGCACTGCGATTTTGGGGGCTTCTACACTGCTGTGCTTGAGAAAGAAGGAGAGCTCATTTCAGCGGCATCATTGAGGTAAGTTTTCTCTGTCTCCGAACCTGTTTGCTGGTCTTAACTTTCAGCTGTTTGGTGTTCCAAAGGGGAACCCCCGCATCTGGGGGGGGGGGGCGTGTGGATGAGCGTGATGCATGCAACTCCACTCTGAATTCATTTGCGTCCTTCGATCTGAATGTATGTGGTGCTCTACGTATCTCCTCCTCGTTTTTTAAACAAAACAAAACAAAAACAAGGCTCCTTCTATTCTGGGAAGAGGCAGCCCGGTTTTGCCTTTGTTGCCTTCTTCATGCCCGTCAGTGGCTGATGGAATGACTTGAAGGCTGTGCTCCAACTGACCACCCGACCACGTGTAACTTCCACGATTGCATGCGGCCCTCCTAGTCAATTTTAGTGGGCGGTATTCCAAGTTTCTGACCCCTGAGTAGGCAAATTGAACCTCAAATTAACACTCAGATTCGTGCTAGTGCCCTCTCATCGGTCCTCCTTAGGGTCCAGCAGTTCCCGCTTTGCGTAACCCGGTAGCGGATGTGCTATTCTGATCTCTTCTGTCCTGCATCCCAGCACAGTTAAGGAGGTTGCTACCAGGTGGCATAATTCATCAGTCCTAAGGTTTTCTTGTGCCAGTAGTTGGAGATGTCTGTCAAGTGGGCGATAACCGCTGTACTGGAAGAAGTGTCATTGGTAAGCTGTGTTCCAGCACCGACATGCTGGCTGTCCGCCGACTTCGTTTCAGCTGAGCTATCTTCGTTCGGCGCTTTGTTGCATGCTGCTCTGCACAGTTGGAGGCGGCTAGCAGGTGGCGGCATGATTCAGCAGCCCTGAGGTTCTCTTCTGCATAGTGGTTGGAGATGCCTGTCCAGAAGGCGATAACCCCTGCACTGGAAGAAGTGTCATCCGTAAGCTGTGTTCCGGAGATGGCATGCTGACCGTATGCTGACCGTATGCTGACCGTATGCTGACCGTATGCTGACCGTATGCTGACCATATGCTGATCGTGGTTAGGCCGAGTTCTGCGTTCCTGGCTTTTTTGTGTGCTTCTGGGTATGCTTAAAGTAATGTGTTTAGCTGAGAATGGGCATTGGGCAGTCATATATTGGCATTCATCGTAGCGGGTGATAAGGGACAGTAAAAGCAACGGTGTTTGGCATAGGTGCTCCTCTGCACCATATGGAGGTGGAAGGAGAATTGCGCATAGGACAGACAGAGGGGAGAGGGAGGTGCCCCTGCACCATGTGGAGGGGGAGGAAGAATCGCGCACAGGAGAGACAGAGGGAGATGGAGAATTGCGCAGAGGAGAGAGAGGGAGAGGGAGAATTGCGCATAGGAGAGACAGAGGGAGAGGGAGAATTGCACATAGGAGAGACAGAGGGAGAGGGAGAATTGGGCATAGGAGAGACGGACTGGGAGGGAGAATTGCGCA